ATTGTGTAAACTGATGAGCGTCAGTTAAACGGTCTTCTAATTGACTGGCCGTCTCAGTAACATGCCTTTGAGGGAAACACTACTTTTGAAATTTCCTTTGGCCAGGAGGAGAAGAAGCAGGCAGAAGCCTTTGAAGTCTATAGCCATCAGACTAATTATCAGCACAATCCAATGCACATTCCTTTAATTGCAGTAAATTGAAGAGGATGTGGGGCTTCGAAGGAAAATAAGAGAGTCAATAAACGGTGACAGGAATCACGGACTATGCAGATCATTAGAGGAGACCACAAGTCCTCTCCTTACCAGACCTATACAGGCTTGACTACTATATACAAACAGAAAATACAGGAGAGGTGGATGGGTAAGTGGGGAATGAAACAGAGGAGCATTTACTGTGGACCGAACCCAGGCAGATACTTGATATTGTTCATTTCATTTAGCTTTCATCATCACTCATGGATATTAGTCTCCATTTCAAATATATATAATTTCCATCTACAATATATATGATACTCTCACTTATAGCCAAGTCCTGTTCTGACCACAGTGTATATTCCTGTAAGCCCAATGTTGTCTCTTCCCTGTGCGCTGTGTACTGCTCCCTGTTACTTCTATTTTACCCAGGTAAAGATGCCATAGCACAGAAAGGTTAAGTGAATTGCCCAGATCCCAGAACCAGAGGCCGAAGGGCCAATAACAAACCTTCCATGAAGATTCTCTAGGCCATGAATCATGATGAGGTGGGAAGCAGGGCCAAGTCCCCCTGGGCTGCCTGACACTGAAGGTCATCTTTGGGTCAAAGATCGCCCCCTCCTCCCAGGAGCACCAAGAGATAGACAGCACAAGAAGGAGTGAGATTACGGACCCTCCAACAAATCACTGGCAGTTTAGCTGACCGCATAGCACGCAGGGTAGAAAGACTGGGACCCTGAGTGACACAGACAACAGCAGCGGTCAGGGGTGGAGGGGGCCGATGTGAAGATCTGAACCCTGATGGCTGAGGTCTGCAGTCAAGCAGCTTGTCCCACACCACATTGCTGGCAGACTAAGAGTAAATGCGGGGCCTGCTGCGACTGCCTGGAAATGATGCTCATGAGAGCATTTTTTTAAGGCATAAAGATGGATGCTGTGAAAATGTTGCAAAGTCCTTTGTTCCTGACATTTCAATAGATATTCAGAATCAAGATCAGATGACTGGCCAAACTGGATAGTGGAAATTAGGTCAGGGGTCTTTCAGCCACAAGTCAGAGAAAGGAAAGACGTTCAAATGATCCAAAAACTACCGGTAATTTTACTTTTGATCCGGGTGCCCGTTGCATGTATTTGGCAACCCTTCAAGGGCTTGCTTGCAGGAGAGGCTGTTAACAGAAATCACCATCACCCACTGTAAGGCAGTTGACGTATAAGGCATTGCAACCACGGAGGCCAGCAGTGTCAAGAAAGGACTTCTCCCATACCCCGAACTTGGATTCCCATATGAAGCACCATATACTGGAATTCCTCTCCCCTCTAAACTCTTGCGGACTTCAAGTTCGCAGAGCTGATGAAAAGTTTAGGAAAAAACAAAAACAAAAACACATTCTATCACTTGTTTTGAATCTCTGCTATCTCTTCTAACAGTGAGGTGTGTGGCATGGTCTGAACAGTCTTTTACTATCAGGGGATGCTCCAGCCATCAAAATCGCATTAGCTTCGCAGTGATTCTAGCCCCTCATAATGTGAACTGTTGGCCTCTTTGCCAACAAAGAAATGAAATCTGCTCCCCTTCAGTGACTAAGCTTTCCTTTGAAGTTACACTAGAACATCAGGCATTCAGCTTGCAGAGTTGTACAGATGTTGGGCAGCGTCTTTTCCTGGGGAAAACAGCCTCATTCACAATATTTCCAACAATGACAACAGGCAGTGCAAACTCCAATGTTCAACTCAATGAAAATACAGCTGTGTCTGGGTCCTCAGTTGGTGTCGTTCTGATTCATTATTATCCTTAAGTCTTTCTTGTTTTAATCTTCATATTGTAGAGCAGCACACACACACACACAAACTGGAACTTTGCCTGACAGCTCAAGCCAGTACAGAAATGTATAAAATTAGATAACAACTTGAGGAATCGATGAAATGTAACTGGAAGATGGATATTTTGTCAAAGTTAGAGTAAATTAGAATACCTGAGGAGAGCAGAATTGAGTTGTTTTTTTTTTAATTTTATGTTAGAAATATTTGACTAAAGAGAGTAATGAAAGTTTTTTTTAAAAATATAGTTTTGAGGATATTATTTATAAATATTATTTATTGTCTAGGGCTAGAGAGATGCCTCTGCAGTTAAGAGCACTGGCTGCTCTTCCAGAAGTCCCAGGTTTGATTCCCAGCACCCACACGGTGACTCACAACCATCTGTAGATCCACTTCCAGGGAATCTGATGCCCTCTTCTGTCCTCCACTGGTGCCAGGCGCACACATGGTCCGCAGACATACATGCATGCAAAATATCCATACACATGAAAAAAATAATAAAAAAAAACTTTAAAGGACCTGTATGTGATTGCAAATTGTAATTCTTACCTTCAAGTAGCCAAGGAGAAAAAAAAGCATAATTTTCATAACAGGAACAAAAGTCTGTATCACCCTTGTTTGATTTCACAGTCCACGGTTCTAAGGTCTATCTCATACCTGAGAAAACTTGCTTCCTTACAGGTAAATGTAATTAATGAATTTTTGCTCCTTCTGAGGAATCATGGAAATTTCCAGACAAATAAATGAATCTAAAATATTATTATGGATACACATATGAAACACATGAAATGCCCAGCATTCATATCAATAGTATCAATTCATTCCCTCCTGTTTCCTTCCTCAAAGGAAGATTCTCAGACCTTTAAATATTGTTTCAAAAAATAATCACAACCAAATCTTGAGGAAAGAGTAAACACCAGTTTAAGCCATCAACTGCCCAACTTAAGAAATATTGCCTTTGACACTTTCTTCTCTGCTCTCACCAAATGCTGCCCAAACATCCAGAGTTTCAAGGCAAGGCTCTGGATGCTGTCCCCTCACTGCCACAGAAGGGAATGAAGGATGCAACTTTTCCTTATTTTCTTTCTAAGCAAATGGTCTGTGAGCATGTCAAAGAAACCCATTCTCCTCTAGCTAATGATACCAATGCAAAGAAAGGCAGCCGGGCAGCATCTGAGATAATCACATCTTTTTCTCACATCCTCACAACCAGTTGGAAATTGCAAACTGAGAACTAAAGTTTATGAGGTTTGCCATCATGTTTGCCAAGGGAAGGAAGGAGGGAATGGCACATGTTTAGAAATTTGTCATGATGCATAGTTACAAATAATAAAATTAAAACATAATTTGCTAATATGAAACTAAAAAGTTATGCTACAAAGATTTGGAGAGAAAAAAGATAAATTGATTCAATGTGAAGCATTTAGTAGAGATACAGATGGTATATAGTGAAGATTATAGGAACCAATATATTATTATCTACATGCATTCTCCTTCTTTCTTTTACGTATTTTTTGTTGTGTGGTTATGAAAATAAGAGGACAAATGGAATATCTAAAGATATATCTGTAATTGCTCAAGGACTATCATGTAAAGAACATGAAGCAATATTTATTCCAAACTGTAAGAACTTAAGGTTAGTGACTTCTGAATCCACCATGAGCACTGATGTAAATGCAGACTGTCCTGAGGTGAATAAACTGGCTGGGAGAAATATTGGCAGCATGATTCTAAGGCTCATTGTGTGAAAAAGAGCCATCCTTGTTTCCTACTGGGGACTGGAATAAAGCCAGACGCCATCAAGAACTCATATTTCCACCATGAAGATCCAGGGTGCCTATTGGTAAGTTACATTGACTTTGGTTTAATGCGTTACAATATTCTACATAAAATAAATTGTTTCCAGTGATTTGAATTAAACTTTTTCCACCCCAGGAATAGCAAGGAAATGCCTTGCGAGCAGTAGGGAGCACCAAGTCATACTATGTCTTAGCTGAAACTGAAAACTAACCACAGATCTGCTCTCCTGTTAAAAAGCAAAAGCTGACAAAGCTGCTCAATAAGTAATAAAGGTGAAATATTATTAATAAACAATCATCTTTTTTTTCAATACCATGCAACTCTTCTGTTTTAATTTTCTCTTTGCTGTTGGATGCATCAGATAGACACCACATTAATAACAGACTGCAGGAAAAGCAAAGTCCTAATAATAAAAGGAAGAGAGTTTTTTTTTTTTAACTGTCTCTGTGTTTGTGCTGATGTTCAAATTCTTCTTAGGAGCAGTGATGACTAAAAAATTAAGTTTTCTTTTCAATTAATTATTGCATATAAATTATCTTTTTATATTATTACCCCACACTGGCAGCAGGATAAAAGTTCCAGCAATTTATAATGACATTTTTAAGACCATGTAAAGCTGCTATTTAGACATTCTTAAATCCAATTTTTTTATACGTGGATTTAATTGCACAGTGATCCAGTTCCCAAGGACATCAAAGGGCACATCCCACTCTTTACCAAGATTTCAACTGCCCTCATCAGCTAGTAAGTTTAAAGCATGATCAAATTTGTTCTTCAATCACTTGAGCCCTGTTAATAAACTATTCTGTGTGCTCATTCACCCATTCTAAGATTCAGCAACTTCTTTGGGATATCTTCAGGAGAAATCTACAAAGACATCTTTGATTGCAGCCTGGCTCCAGGAAAACTTTATCAACACTGTTTTCCTATTCCACAGAAGGTAACAGGTGACTTCATCACCCCCCCCCAATCCCGTACACAAACTATTTTTCAAAACTACATCTAATGTACCAAACACCTTTTGCACAATTTAATAATTTGACATCAAGTATTGATAGTATTTTCTTGGGCTCTATTACATTAACACAAAAAGAAAAGAAAGAAAGAGAAAGCATGGAAGGAAAACATGAATCACAGTCAACCAGAACACAGAAGCGCTAAATGCCAACATAGTAAAGAGAGCAACTTACCGCTATCACTGTCCGACTTGCTCTCGTGCTCCGTGTCTGTCAGGGTGAGGGCTGAGTTGGACCGGCTTGACAGGCAGGAACTGCGGCCCGATTTGACCCCCCTGCCCCAAAGTCTCATGGCATGCTCTGGGGACATCACTGCTTCGTTTTCCGTATCAGCATCTGACCCTGCACTGATGGAGTAACCTCTGTGAGGGAGCCCCATTTCCGCACAGAATGCCACTCCTCTTCGAGTTGCGGATTCACACACTCCTAACTGCCTTAGGGTAAAATTCTGTCCTAATTAGGGGGAAAGAGAGATAACAACTAGTGAGTATATGATTCCTGGGCTTTAATTTCTTTCTTTTTTTTTTTTTTTCTTTCAAAAAGAAAACCTCCCTGAAAGAAACACTCAATTGTCCAGGCTTTACCCCTCTCAGCACCAGCTGTTTACACCAGCTTTGCACGGCATACGGACAAGTGGATGGAATTATGGGAAGGGAGGAGGCCCAGTGGGCTGGAAGGAGGCTTCAGCTCAGGTCCCTTCTGTCAACTTAAACCCACAGGCACCTCCAGAGATGGATTCGTGGCTTGACCATGAAAACTCAACACGGAGGGAAGAATTCGTTTCTGATGGGAGAATTTGGCTTAGCAGATGGTGAAGCAACAGAAATGGCCATCTGTCCTGGTTTTGGTCCTAAACTATGGGATATTTTCCCATGTATGTGTCACTTCTTCGGGTGAAATGAAAGTTTACATCTGGAAGAAGTTATTGGTTAAGTAGGAACAGGAGCTTGGACATTTTAATTGTATCTTCCCACCTTAACTCAGAAAGCAATCTAAACATGTCTGTGCATGCGTGTAGACATGTGTGCATGCGTGTGAGGGTTTGCTTGAATGTCTGTGAGCAGTATGTGTGCATACATGCGTATGTGTGTGTATCCATGTATGTGTGGATAGATACATATCTTTATGTGTGTATATGTGTATGCCTGGGTACGTATGTATGTGTGTATATGCAAGTGAACATCTTCCTGTATGTATACGCCTGGGTGTATGTATGTACATGTCTGTAATTCAACACTCAGTCATATAATACCTTGAAAATTGGCACCATGCTTTGCATATCTATGACTTTCTAGATATTTTGACTTAAGAAACACCTGGAAACATCTGTATTGACCAAAGCAGACCACGTTTTTCAAGTACAGTGCACTCTGAAAAGAAAGTGGGAGTGATACGTTTTTAAAAATTAATGACACAATCAAGCTCCCTGAAAATAAATGGCTGTGAACTCTGCAAGCCTTTACTAATAAATTGAGCATAATAAAACTCATGACACTGCAATCACTTAAAGCAAAAGTGTTTAAATTAGGTGACACTTCAGAAAGACTGCTCGTATTAATGATGCTTCCCATCTTGTATTTGCTTTTGAAATTTCAGTCTTTTATGACACTATGGATATGAAGAATTTGAAATATGGTTGTCTGTAGAGTACATGCATAAGCCTCTCCCAGTTTTACGTCTTGCCTATGTGAGAGGGTCCCAAATGCGGGCCCAGAATCAGACACATACCAAGAAGAGTAGTAGGGCAAAGACTGATTTAAACACAACTTCTTTAGCAAATCTTTTATGAATATTAAGTATTTATTTGACTCATGGTCTTAATTTTCCCACTTCCATCTTACAGATCTACATGAATATTTTAAAGTTAATTTGCTGTTATGAGAAACCTACATTATATTTTTAAGGGAGGGTACTTATAAATTATTTGTGATAAAATGGCATGTTGAATCTTCTAGGAAATAAATCAAACATAAGACACAATATAGTAAATATTTGGTTGTAAAGATATTAGCCCCCTTCAGGCCCAGCACATTTAAACTAGTGTGGCTAATTGTTTTACTGCTGTGGTCATATCACAAGTTGGAATCAGCTTTATCTCACTCAGACTTCCGAATGAATCTGACAATGACACTCATAAATAATGAAAATCGGCTGCTGCAATTAGCTAGAAATCAAACTGTGCTTATCAGAGAGATGTGAATAAGCATTGGAATCAAATCAGCATGTGTGGGGGGGGGGGAAGGAGAGGAGAAAAAGGAAAGTTTCCTCTCCACAGCCTGGTGAAGGTAGGCAAGCTCATGGGGTAATACGGAATTGTCTGTATTTGTAAAGAATTCACATGGACTTTACCTATGAAAGTCAATAAAAACATGGTTGATGCCAGGCAGAGAGGAAATGGATGTGCTATGGAAGAATTTCCTTACTGTTATTTACTGGTTACTTTTGAAGTGGGGCTCTAAAACACTCAAGTATTGCCATTAAACATACTGATATTACAAATTAGAGTACAAAGTAAATTTTAGAACCAGGGGTCGGGGAAATACATGACCATATCCTCCCAATCTCTCTCCTATCTTGGGAAATATCTATATTCCAGAACAACAACAACAAAACAACAGAATTCTATACTTCCTGAACCATAACTTGAAACATTGTCCAATTTAATGACTTATCACCCACTGCCACCTTGATGTGAAATCTACATGGAAAGAAAGCAGAACTCTGCAGTCCTTAATTGCTCTTCAGGTATGTGAACATAGCTGGCTTTGCAGCTAAATATCCCACACATGAGCCTCATGGAAAAACATACAACCGAACCAGAACTATTTCACCCTCTGCAGTCAGTGACTCGTAATAACTCAAATCTCTTTAGGGACAGTTCTAAAGTTTAAACTCTAGAGCAAACACAAGTCCAGAAATCGCTGCTGGATTTCTTCCACTGAACTAAAAAGTTTATTTTTGCTTCTGGAAGGGCAGTGAACTGGACTTCGCATGCACCTACGTTAACACCACCCACGAGTTCTGCTAGGATCTCTTTCCTACCATTTTTTTTTCCTATGTCTGTTAGGGTGTTCATGCCTTGAGCTAGGTGATGGTCTCTGGACCAGAGATGTGCTCAGTAGTGTAACATTTGCTTATCGTTTGAATGGTACAAGATATATACCTAGCATTAAAGAAGGGGAAGGGTGGTTTATGTAAATATGAGAAATCCCTTAAAATATACTGGTGAACATAATAATTATAGAGGAACATAGAACTTAAGTACTCATTTTCAAATCATTTGCAAATAGCCACTCCACCAGCAAAGCTAGTGTTTACTTAAGTAGTCTGCCATCATTGCAAACAAACAAACAAACAAACAAACAAAAACGCTCCACCAGAGACCTGCTTCTACTCTTCAGATTCTACTGCTATTGGTTCTTCTTTTTCGGCTAGGCATTCCTGGTATTTAGGACCCTCTGCATAAATGTGATGGGAAGAACTAACCATTAAACCAGAGTAATTAGTCTATCAGATTATTTCCCATGACCTAGTGATGTTTGTAAGACAGGCTATCCTTAATAAGAAACACATGCAGTTTTGACAAATACAGAGGAGATGGAGAGAAGGAAGGTTCCTGGCTGAGAGAAGAGACAGCTGGTAGGGACCTGGCTTTGTCTTAGGGAAGGAGTGGGGGCGCACAGAGAAGCAGACACATATGAAGCCAACTAAGATAATTCTGTGAAAAAATAAACACCTGAAGGATGTGCGGAGAATTAGCTTCAGCTTCATGTAACAACAACTGATTAGCCTTATGTTCTTTGCAGTAGTTCTGACACCATTAATTTAACTTCTCTTTTTGCCCTTCACAGTCTTTATATTAATTGCTTGTCTAAAACTGGCAAATAAGTATTTATTTTTATCTGCTGCCCATTGAATTTTGGTAACCTTGATCAGCAGGGCCAGTAGCAGATCTGCCCATTACAATTTGAAATGGGACCAAAACAATAAATTGTAGTAAGAACAAAGTGTACCTGAGGGCAGAATGCACTGTGATTAAAATGCAACATTAGCTTGGATGAGATTAGCCAATTCTGTTTTATGATACTCATAAACTGAAAAATCTTTACAGAAAAAAATTGAATAAATACAACTAAGGTAGGCTGCATCACTTTAAAATAAGTTTATACTTAAAAACAAACAAACAAAAGAAATTGGGATATGTGTTAAAGTAGACAGGATGGTTTAAGAATAAAGACTTCAAATATGGCAGCATAGCAGTTATGCCTTAAATAAAAAAGGGGAATCAGGAAAATGGGTTAGCTATACAGCCTGTCTTCCTATCTTTTGAAATACCTAGAACCTAGTCAGATCAGGAACTTTCCTAAAAATGACATTTTAAAATACTATGAGAACAAGTGGTACACACACACACACTCTCTCTCTCTTTCCTTGCTTGCTTATCTCTCTCTCTTACTCTGTCTGTCTATCTATCTATCCACTTATTTATATGTTTATTTTGTGGTATCTTATAGCCTAGGTTAGCCTGGCACTCATCACAATTCCATACTGAGAGTGACTGTAGAAGAAATATCTTGTGTATTATATGGATGCAACACCTGTCAATTTAAAAAAACCTATGGCATATAGCTGAGGCAGGAAGTAGGAGACAGACTGCATGTACCTAAGCCCAGGTAGCCAGCCATGTGGCAGAATGTAGATTAATATAAATGGGTTATTAAGTTATGAGATATACAGAGAAGAGCCTAACTACATGGCCTAGCCATTTGTAAATGATTATCTTGAGTCTTATGAGTCAAGTTATCCCAGGGGCTTGGGTCAGGGAGGAAAATCCTCCCACTACAAGTGCCTTGAACCTGGATCCTCCTGCCTTACTCTTTCCGAACGCCTGCATTACAGCTGTGCAATGCTACACTGAATTTTATATGGTAGTGGGTACTGAACTCAGGGCTTCATGCATGCTAGAAGCATCAAGCAATTGAGCTATATGAGTAAGCAGCTCTGGGGAGATATAATTCTCAGCTCATGCAATGCATGCATTTAAGGTGAACAATTCAATACATTTTAGGAGATTCACAGACTCCTGCAAATATGAACACAATTTTTGAATGATTTTATTATCACCATAAAAGATCCCATAATTATGAGCTATCTTACATTTTCTGCCAGCATCCTCCCTTTGCTATCCCTCAGTAGCCACTGATGAACTTCTATCTGTACATATGCTGATGTGAGACATCTCAGAGAAGATCTTACGGTGTGTGCCCTTCTGTGATTGGCTAGCTTCACCAAGCACCATATTTTTCAAGTTCAAATGTGGCTTTTGAGATGGCTCAGGATTAAAGGCACGTGCCCCAAGCTTGACCTGAGTTCCATCAGTGCACCCCGAAGTGGTATAGGAGAGAACCAATCCCACAAGTTGTCCTCTGACAAAGTGTCCACACTCACACCTT